GACTTGCGATCGGCCGCGAAGTAGCCGAGATGGCATCGATAGGCCTCCCTCGGGATAGGCCTCGGCACTCGTTTCTATCCGACCTATCTCCCGTATATATCGTCGCGCCTCGTTATGGCCGGATAACTCGCGAGGTTACAATCCCGAGTGTGCCCACACGCCCCTCGGTCCATGGTGGACGGATGGTCGGATAGGCTCCTCCATCATTTGGATGCGAGCCCGTTTACCGGTCATCTCGCCATCGGGCTCATCTCCCATCTCGACATCCGTCCCGGTGGCGACCTGGACGAAACGCTTCCTGAATCGACGGGCCTGGATTCGCAGGGTCTCGTTTTCATTTTCTTCCGGAAACGCCGGGTCTACGTGCGGGATTTGTCGGGACTCGAGCAATGGGCCCTTCTCGAAACCGAGAGGGCTACTCGAGGTGGGTTTAGACTTTTGCGGCTTTCCGATGGAAAGATAGGAGGGAAGAGGGAGCGAGAGGCTGGGCAACCGTATAATCAACTTGTCAAAACGGTTCCTAAACCGTGGGGTCCCTAGCTCGAGTCTAATATATCAGAAGGATAGAGCCATGTGCGTGCCGGGACGGCGTGCAGGGACGTACGTGTAGAAAGGATCCGACAGGACCCCAATCGGTTGATCCTTTGAAATCCTCCTTGGCTTCTCCTATTTCGACGATAAAATAGACCTCGTTAAATCCAACCGTGGATTTCTTTTTTTTTTTTTAAAGTACCTGAAAACACATGCCCGATCTATGGGACGTTTGGAAATAATTTCGATTTCTTTTTTCCTGTCCTAAGAATTACCCCGAAAAAATTCCATTGAACCCGAGAAATATTTTTCACTGAGAATTTTTGGAAGTGGTTTCTTATGTGGAAGGGTGGAAGGAGGGCATCACTTTTTGGGACTTTTCGGTACGGTCCTGTAGGAGCGAAGAGGGGAAGTTCTTAACGCTGCCAAGAGCTGCGGTCAGGGTTAAACGAGAGGACGTTGATTATGAATTCCGAGCGATCCTCTAATTGTTATGCCCCTAATTATCATTAATTATCGTTTAGACCGCCGGCAAATGGAAGCGGGCCCTCGGCCCCTTTTTCTCTCGGGCCGGAATTTCTCTGGGATTTCTCTCGCATTTCTGAGACTCTCCCTGACGTGTTAATTGAATGGGGAACAAAAGGAAGGAGACGCGGGGAAACAAGATGGCCGCAAATCGGGCCGATTAAGGACCGCTTAAATTTCGAACCTTGTCCGCTCCGCTCCCGCGCGACACGGCCGCATGAATAATTCACCCGGCAATTATCATGAACACGTGCTGTAATCGCGTAAGACAAACATAATTACGAGCCGATGTCGAGCGCACCTTTGCCTACTTACACCTTGCTCATTAATCGGGCAACCGTTGAGGTACGATTAAACGTCCTCGTTTATTGCTCGGCAAGTCATTACTCCGTTCTCGATTAAAAAACCACAAAAATCCATGAAAAATTCCACGGACTCCCCCATGCAGGAATTATTTGAGAGTACCGATTCGGCACGAGTGTACAAAATAATTCTATAGTACCACTCGAAGAAATATTTTCTTAATTCCTAGAATAATGATTTCACTCGAATAAAGTGTCATAGTTCCGAGTGAAAAAATTACTCCTTGATTTAAGAGAATTTTTCTTTGGTTCAATAACATTTTTTTTTTCTCGGTGCAACTTTGTACTTGGTGTAGGTACGCATCAGATCCGGCTGCATTCCGCGGGGAAAAGACCGTCAGAAGGGCCTATCTCGAATCGGCGCATCTCGAGAGGCTTTGATGAATAATGTATGTCTCAATTACGCGTACCCGGTTGCGGCCTGCCTTTCGCGTTTTCGCGACTTTACGGCGTTCAATTAGCAGCGGCCTCCTCCCCGCGCGTCTCGTAGATTTGCCCCTCTCCACCTGGAATTCATTTGCACCTTGGCTGGAAATCAATTATTATTCCCGATTTCCGCGGCACCCTTGTAGTGGCTCGAAAGCGCAAGGCAGCCGATAAGCCGATAAGCCGATTAGCCGATTATCGATCTGCACGCACGGTCTCGGTGCATCGGGGATTCGCGTAATGAGAGCTCGCGTTTTACTCGGGGCGAGGGATCGGCCTTCTCGCTCGAGGCGATCATGACCTACGGTACGCCCACGACTTTCCCACGCCGTCTTTCCTCAGACCTTTAGCATCCGCTGTATCTCAATCTCCCCTAGAATGGCCGTCTATAAATCCGTAATCGATCCCCTCCTGGACTACCGCAGGCCAGCTACCGAAATTTTCTGGAAATCCCCCAGAAAAGGGAGAATTTAACAGAGGGATGGAGTACCACCGGAGGTGTGACCCGTCAATTCAGAAAGTTGCAATTGCCGAGCGATTCGGGGTATCTCCATGCCCGACTAAGTGGCTCGTTTCGGAAACCGCCGGCGGGCAATCGGCGCCGCGATAGCGCGAGGCCTTATCTCGAGCCGTGGAAATCGCATTGGCCACGGTAGGGAGAATTAAATGCAATTCGCGATAGGCTATCGAAGGCAAACGCGGCGCTCGAGAAAGGCTCCGTCGAGTAGAGGCCTGCGGACCCCTTAAAGTGGGAAAAGGAGCGAGATGGGAGGGTTTCCCGGGCGATCGAAATCGCGAGGTGGAGTTTTCCGGGCGGGCAAAATGGCCGAGCTCGGCTTCGGCGTCGAGATCGAGGCGGATCGCCGGCCGTAATGGCGCGCGACGAACTCTCGGCCGCTCGTAAACCGAACGATACGTTAATTGCGAGCATGTCGATGGCTTTATATCTCCCGTTTAAATGCAAATGCTCGATTGACTCGACTGCGGAACGATCGGGAGTAAACGCGCCATTGGCGCGATTATCTCCGGCTAATCGACCCTCGGTTCGATTAATAATTCGGTCCGACGTCGCCCACTCGTGACGCGACGAAACGGAAAACGCGGATATAATGAAATGCGTCTTGCGCAAGACTCGATTACGGCGGAGGGAACGAGGCGCGAGTATAAGGCCCACTAATAGAGTGTTCCAGGAGAGGGACCCATTAGCGGGCCCCTTTCTAGGGCCCTTTCCCGGCCCGAAAATATCCCCGAGTCACGGGTCGCATATTAATAACACCTAATTGCGCCTTCCGAATCATGCCCGCCGCGCGGAATGCGCTCCGCGGGTCTGACGCGACGGATTCCGCGTGCTCGGCCGGGACGTCGATGGACGTCCGCGAGATGAGGCCCCTCGATAATGGCCGATTCCTGGTAGCACTGTTTTGACTTTTCGGGAACGACCGGGCCCCTCGAAAGGGACGCCCCTGGACGCGTCTAATAATTCCTTGCGACATAACCTCAACGTAGAAAGTACCGGAACCACGTCGGGCAGAGTCCCGCGCCAAGTGCACGCGGTGGAGATTTATCATCGGCTTATTTTCGACGCGTACATGGAATCGTGGCCAGTGAGGTTATGTAATCGCTCGGAAGCTCCAGTTCGGGGAATAAAAGAATCCGTCGCGACGCTATAACGCCGCGAGGCCGCAGAACCGCGGGACTATAAGCGGTAGAAAACAGTGAGCGGCGGACTATCGCTCGACGTTCTGACATTTTGGAGTCTCTCGGGGTACGTGTTGCGCATGCGCGAGGATCTGATAGCCGTAACAAATGACATCGTCGAACTGGCATCGCGCTATCTCTTAATCTCGCGGCGCTCGCCCGCCGGGATAAGAATTGACCGAGGCCGCGGGGACGACTCACCTGGCCGGGAGGGTCGAAACTAACGCGGCCCGAAATTAACGCCGGCGAGGAAGTGTTGTCCATTCCGCGGGCGCTCGCCCGGCCGGAAAGTGGACGATTCTTCTCCCGCCGTTAAGGGTAGCTTAAGCGAGCTAGTTAGAAGACACGACGCCAGGTTATGAGTCTAAAGTGGAGATACGAGGAGCTTTGCTTGTAACACGTGTTGTTAACCGGTTCCACCTTAATTGTCTTAAACGGGGACCATAATAATTTTTGTTTTATCTCCTACGTGGGGCCCCTTTTGTTTTGACATTGTTCGTTAACCAGGCCGGACTAACTTTCGCTGGAAACGCGTTTAGCCCGGGTTGCGCCAACTCTCCCCCGCGCAGCGACGAGAGCCCTCGGGAAGTGTCCTCATAGGTGGAGATGTTTCCACCGGGACAAGATTAACGGCTCTCGGTCGGGGCCTTACCCCGAAAAAGGGCCCGGTATCGCGCGAGATATCCCGGACGAATTATTATTTCGATCCCGGGCGACGTGGACCTCTTTTGATCGTCTTTCCTTGGGTTACCGCGAGATTTACCTTCCGTTTAATTCCTCTTAACGAGGGATTTAATTCCAACGGGAAAAAGGCCCGGGACCCCGTCGACACGTCGCGCGGCGCTCCGTGGAAAATCCATCATGGGCCCCGTAGGGCCGACCATGGGATTCGGGTAGACCAGTGTAATAGTCCTTAGTTCGGCTTGCTAACAAGTTTGGCTCTTGGAGATGCGAGATAAACGGGCCCCCGCTCCGGGCCGGTTGACCGGTCCGGTGCGCCGCTATTTATAATGAGCCCTAGTAGGATACCGATCGCCGATTAGGGCATTCTCGAGCGATACTTCATCGATCACCGAGATCGCCGATGGACGCGCGTCCGGGGACCATGCTCGCCCTCCGGTGCGAGAAAGGAATTATTAATTGCGTACCTGCGGTTCTTGGGCCCTAGGAAAGATATCCCGCCATGTACTCTTCTTCATAGAACATCCTTTTTGAATAAACCCCTTCGTTGTATTGATTTCCACTGTTTCACCCGATGAAACCCTGGAATTTATCCTCCGTCTTCGTTTTACTGTGTTTGAAAAGGAAATGCGGCATCCGAGGCCATCTTTAGGTCTCTTTTGTAAACGCGGATGTGTACGCGGTTCGAGGAGGGAACGGCAGGTGGCGCCAGTATCGACTCCGTGAGAAGATGGATGCAGCGCTAGTTTACTATGTGCACAGTCTGTCAGCTGTCAGTCTGCACAGGACTGTCACAGCCGGAGAAAAATTTGGCCTGAGCTCTGGCTGGAGTTAAATTGTTTTACGGTTCGTTTTGGCGGTATAAAAAATATGGTCGAAGTGGCAGGGAATTTGAAGATCGTACGCGACAGAATCATTGCAGCGTCCACGAGGAGATCATCGGTGCGTTCTGAATTGCTTAAATCGAGGTGTCAGATATGACATTTACGGCTCGAGTTATAGGTTAGGAACTCCAAGATATTTTTGTAGAATTATGGTAAAATAGGTTGACGAATCGATGTGAAACTTTTCTATAGGAATATCAATACTTTGAGCCACGTTTGGTGGCCGTGAGTAAGATCAAACCTGCCGAACTTGTAATATCTGCGTACGAAGCTGGCCAGAGGTACTTCGGGGAGAATTATGTCAATGAACTGGTCGACAAGGCTAATCATCCTGCCGTTCTTGAGAAATGTAAAGATATCCGATGGCACTTCATCGGTCACCTGCAGAAGAATAAAATTAATAAACTGCTGGGCACCCCGAATCTTTATATGATCGAAACCGTCGATAATGAGAAACTTGCTACGGCCATCCATGGTGCCTGGCCAAAGTTCCGAGCTCAAGACAGCGCGAGATTAAAAGTCATGGTTCAAGTGAACACAAGCAAGGAAGAAGGTAGATCTTTCTATTGGGGTGATTTTCAATTATTTTATCGTTAAGTTCTGTTCAATTCGTTAGATAAGAATGGCTGCGATGTGAAGGACGCACCAAGCCTGGTTAAACATGTTTTGGAGAATTGTACAAATTTAGAATTTGTGGGACTCATGACGATCGGCATGTTTGGGTATGATCATTCCAAGGATCCGAATCCCGATTTCGTTGCTTTAAAGCAATGCAAAGCGGACGTCTGCAAGGAATTAAACCTTGATCCTAAATCGGTCGAACTTTCTATGGGCATGTCCAATGACTACGAGCACGCGGTAAGTCGAGGATAGAAAAGGAAATGGGATTTAAAATTTGGACGTGAAAGAAAATGTGACTTCTAGGTGGAACTTGGTAGTTCAAGCGTCAGAGTAGGCACTGCAATTTTTGGAGAGCGACCAAAAAAGGAATCTCAGGCCCAACAGACTTGAGATAAAAATCATAAGTTGTACACGAGATACTTAGGGTAAATATTCCATTGTACCCGATTTATGTCAGATACTTAAAATGCACGAATTTGGGGGGCTTATCTTCAGGTACTTATTTTTACTCGGTGGATGTTACATTAATCTATGTCAAGGGGCTTCTTATTTTACCTCGTACACGGAGGAATATTCCTAGATGAATTGTACATAACAAAGTGTAAATAAACATGTGAGGTTCAATCGAAATTCCCGACGATATACGAGTCTTGAAGATGATACATTTTTTATTTCAAGCCATAAAATGATAAGATAATGGGCTGAAAGACTGCGGTGGGTATTTGCTCGATTAATTTATCTTAGCCATTTTTCATCGTGCCTCACATCAAGGACGTTACTTCCTTTCCGGTCCTTTCCGCTTCTTTCTCGACCTGCCTACTTTTATTCACGTTTTGCAGTCCGCAGATGTCATTGCAAAACGCAACGTAGTCGATCATTTTGTCTCCTTGGTTCGAGTACAAAGGAGCATCTTCCAAAGCTCCATCGACTTCGTTAACGGTGAACCTCTCACCATACGATTGCAGGTCATGCCTTATCCTGTAAGTCATTAAAATCATATTTAGTACATACTTCAATCTCAATAAACGGATCCAACTGTAAGCGTACACGAAGTACCTCTCTTCACTGATCATTCCATTCCCTGCGTAGTCCCAGTTGGACAGGGCCTTTGTAAGCACGTCTTCAGGGTCCAGGACGGTCGCCTTGTACCTGCAATTATTGGATCACACTTTCTTCGAAATGGAATCAAAAATTTATTTATGAAACATTACTCGAACGATGCGACGAACGAGTCGAAGTCCACCGGACTCTTCATGTCCGAGAGCATCCGTTGAAGCTGTTCTTCGGGGACGTCGGGCTTCCCCAAAGTAGCGAAGGTATATTTCAGATCAGCCACGTCAATGATTCCGTCTTGATTGATGTCGAACAAATGGAAGGCCTGAAAAATCGACCACCCCTTCATGAATCCTGCCGCCCATCTAGATGCGAATCGCCCAACCTCTCTTAATTCCGCCAACTTCCTGAAGTCGATTTCCTGCAGCCCTTTGGTGCGCTTCGGGGTGCCAGAATTTTCGGAAGAATCCACCAACGGTTTCTTGGCTTTGGAATCCTGGATGCTCTTCCTAGGGCCCTCTTCCGAGTCTCCGGAAACACTCCTCGCTTCATCTCCCAGTAGAGCCTTCTCTTCGGGGACTTCTTCGGGAACCGGATCTCCCTTGTCGGTCCCCCCGCTGGGCTTTTCTTCTCCATTCTGAGGCTTTCCCTCCGACTTCGACTTCTTCCTTTTCTGTGAGTAGAACAATTTAAAATGACTTACAATTAACGCTCGCAAGCCTCGTCCTAGGTCTCACCGATTTCTTCTCGTTCTTCAGCTCCTGATTCTCTCCCTTGTCGAGGTCGGCCATTCCGCGGCTTGATCCAGCAGCTATGGAAGCGAATCCGCGAACTGGCAAGGTGCATCTCCTCCTGGCCAGCTTTATAGATGGACCATGCAGCCCCCTCCATGAAGTCGCCTCTTTGGGACCACTTCCAGCAAGATTAGTTAGCCGGACACCGAAGTGACGGCTCTTCAGGGTCGCGCAACCGCGGAAATCCGCGCGGATTAATCGCCTTCCCCGATGCTCCCGATGATTCCTCTCGACAAATCGCGATCAGCAAAGTGTCCGGCCTGCATTGCCTAACTGCTGAATATTTGGATAACCGGCGCGATTTATCTAGGGAAATCTCGCCTCCGGGTTGTGTATCCCAGAGGTTGATGCATATCAGGGACATCAATCGGGTCCACGGGCGCGTTTAGCAGCACCCTGGACAGGATTAAAATTAATTCCCGCGTTTCGAGGGACACCATTCGATATTTCACCCGAGTAATTGATCGATAAGACCGATCGGGGGACCGGGGCTCCGATAACTCGAATTAATGGCCGTCGTCCGCGCTTGGCAGGGTGTCATGGCGCCTGATCTTCGTTGGGTCCAGGGACCAGAGAAATAAATCGCCTAGCGCCTGGTCCAGCCTGGAATTGGGTGATGCTTTCCGAATTAAAGTGCGTCATTTGGCAACTGCCACTTTCCACTTCCGGTGATCCACCTGTTCCTGGGACATCGTTCATCCATCATACCTCCAACGTCCACCAGCTATCTCTTGTGGCGCGCGTTTCGCCACACGCCAGTGTCCAGCTCGCCTCGAACACCGAGACGTCGACTTGGAAACCTCGTCTTCAAGAATTGGTGAGTCCGCCAAGCTGGGAATTTTTTATAAAAATCCTCGCGTCCTTGAAATTCTAGTCAACACCCTCCGGCACCTCATGGGAACCGCGAAGCTTTGGGGGTTTACATTTTATTCCCATGTAAGGTTTAGCGTTTATTCGAGAATTCGAAGGGTCATTTGGAAGAGGAAACGTTCACGTAAATGGAAATTCAAGGCTGGGGCTCTCCTCTTTCTGGGATTTCAATTTTAACGAGCTTTTCATCCGCAAGTTGGACCATGCGGAGATCACGGCGCCATCTTGCTGGGGGATGGCAAGGTGTCTCTTCGTCTCCTCTTGGCTTCGCCAGGAGGTCTCTACATCTCTTCGGCATCTTCTGCAGGAGCCAGCCTCTCGTTATCCGATTCGAGTACGAGCATTTCCTGACTTATCGACGTCGTCCACGGTACTCGTCCGTGCTCTCCCCCTGGTTGCGAGTTCTTCGAGCGGCTCGGAGATGTCGCCACTAGACCGGATCCCGAAATAAATCCCAGGAAGGGAAGGAACCCCCGCAGGGGATTTCCGGTCCCGTAACCCGTCGACAAATCGGCATTTCGAGACCTACCTTCGAGGAAACTCGCTCGGTCGAGTTTCGGGAATTCTTTGAAAATTCTCGAGGCGCACAGGTGAACCTCCGGATTATTTTTAATCCGAAGCCCAGCGCCTCAATTACGAGGGAGTTAAATTTAGTCAACACTCAGCGCCGAGTATTCTGGGGCCGAGCCAAGTTTAGAATTGAGAGGCGTCTCCTCGGGCGCAATTTCGAGCCGTTTCGAGCTACCGTTCATTTTCGGGATGCGGCATCTTCTTCGGGAACCCCCTCATCCTTGCGACGCCCTCCTTAGGCAAATCGGATGATAGCTGCACCCGACGTGAAAACCATCGGAAATAGAATAAGACAAACACCCTCCACCCGGTGACGCTGTCGATTACGAAATCGTTAGGAATGCTTCTGAAGAGGTCCCAAGATTTTCAGCAATTTATTCTTAGTCCCGCCTTAGATGGCGAAGAGTGCATTTCCCTTCAGGGCTAAAGAAGAGCCCCGGAAGTGTTGCGTTTCACCGCAAGGTCCAACCTCTCCCCCGAATAAATCTCCGGATTGGCTCCGCGTCCAAACGTCCCGTCCAGTGAGAAACACATTGCGTTAGATATACCTCCTTTAATAATTATTTCCTTTTTTTATACATTTTTTAGTCCTTTACTTAAGAATCCTAGGGTGCGGCGTAAGACGGTGGAAAGACTCGCGCCGCGTGGAGGGTATTTCGTGGCGTCGACACCGCGACGGGGATGGGTCCCTACGGAGAGGGCCTAGCCGGAGAATGAAGAACGCATCGTGTGTAGGTGTGTGTGGAAAAAGATTGTATTTCGACCAGTTCGTCTCGACCGGTCGACCTCGCGGTCTAAGCCGGGACCGGAGCCCGGGGGTCTCCGTCTGTCGCCGCAACACGCTGAGCCCTCGCGGGTCGAAATCACAGCCGTCCTCGTGGTGTTTGAAAATAGGTTTATTGTATGAACGATAATATGGACGCGCCAGCCCCTCGCCCGGGGACGTCCTGGACGGCCAGGTGCTCGAGGACGTGGCCCCGGGTCGCCGCAGGCGAGTCGTCGATCTCCCTTCCGCTGCGCCGCGCGCACCGTGGCCCACGGCGATCGGAGGTTACGTCCTCGAGCGGAGGTCCTCTAGGTCCTTCATTCGTCCTCGTCGTCGCCGGTTCCCGTCAGCATGGCGATCAGGCTGGGGGTGTCGATGAAGCCCTTGTCGTCGATGTACATGTTGTCGTACGCGTCGTTGACCTCCTTCGCGGAGAACTTCTCGCCCCAGGTCTGCAGGGCGTGCCTCAATCTGCGAAGGAAGAAGAAGGGAACGACCCCCCGGTCAGCGATCATCCTGAATCTCGATCCTTCGTGTTCTAGGAGGGACTGAGGACACCAGGGCCGCCGAAGACGAGACAAGTGCCAATGCGAGCGGCCCTTCCGGGGAAATTTCAGAGTCTACGACGGGCAAGGGTCGGCGAAGAGAAGCTCTCGGAATCGAAACGTTGACCGGTTAGTGCTTCAGATAAGGGCATCTGCACAGCGTTTATCAGACTTAGACCGTTCGTCACTCGAACATCATGGCACTGGGATGCCCGAGGAGGAGGACTCGGGCTCGGGGTCCGGGGTCGACGCCTCGAAGAGTGGGCGCGAGGACTCGACTTACCTCTCCCCGTCGATTTTGCCGTCCTCGTCGAAGGCCTGGAAGGCTTTTATGACGACGTCGTCCTCGTCCGAGCCTGGAAGAAGAGGGCACGCCGGTTAACCGATGATCCAGGAACGTTTAACTCTCCGGGACTGTCCCCGACGTCGAGGTCGAGCTACGACGGAGGAACCGGGATTACCTGATCCTGACATGCGAGTGGCGAACAGATTCAACAGCTGGGTGAAATTGATGGGCGCCGGGGCCTCGTTGATCATCTCGTCGAGCTCCTTCTCGGAGGCCAGCTTGCCCAGGTTGTCGAAGGTCACGCGCAAGTCGTTCTTGCTGATGATGCCGTCCTTGTCCTGGTCGATCAGCTGGAACGCCTGCAGATCCAGCCAAAGCAAATTAGGTGCGTTCCCGGCGAGCCGGGGCGAGGCCCTCGGCACCGCCCTGGGCCTTATGCCGACTTCCTTCCTCGCACGGGGACGCCCGGTCTGGCACAGAACACAAGAGGAGAAGAAAGAAATGCCCTTCTTCGCGCGAGGAAGGAAAGCGGTTTGGTCGCGGCGGCCTCCCGCGACCTCCAGGGGCTCTAGATAGATTAACCCTACAGCCGGGAGAAATGGACCCGCTGACGATGTCCTGGCGTACCTCCTTGAACTCGGCGACCTGTTTCTGAGTGAACATGGAGAATACGCTCGAGCCTGATCGCTTTGCTCGCTTGCTGCCGCGGCTACTCGCTCGCTGCGATCCGCTCGGCGTGTGGGTGGTGGATGCATGAGAAGACGCTGCCGGTTCCGACGCTGGAGGCTCCGGAGTTGGCTCCGGAGGAGGTGCATCCTTCTTCTCTTCCTCCTTCTTCTTGGGCTTCTTCTTCTTCTCCTTGTCCGCCTGGAATCAAAGCGTTCTTCAAAATGCCGACCCTCCGGTCGACAGGTCTGACGTTCCGGCGAATCTCCCGGACTCGTGAGAGAAAAATTCAAAAACGAAGAGCCCGAATTTAAAAATTGCAAAAATTCAGAAATAAAGTACAATCCCAAGGATGTATCCTTCCTTTCAGATGCCGAGGAAATCCAATACTCTCCTGACGTACCATGAGGGAGGCTTCCGGGTGGACGCGAGGGATCGAGACTCCGCCTCGTCGGGTTCCGGGTTCGGACGAGGAGCAAGTCTCCTCGGAGACGATTTCTGGCTATCGAGGAGGCAAACGTCGAGGCGTAGCCCTGGGAGACTCGGAGGCGAATCGCGTCTCCGCTGGGAAACTCTCGAGGCGTCCCTCTCTTCGGGCGCCCAGAATAGAAAAGCTACCCGAGCAGTCATCCGGCATCGAAGGCGACGCGCGGCGCCGCGACGCCGCCCGCCAAGACGTATATAGACCGGCCAAAGAGCTTCCGACACGGCGGACGGCCTCTCGAGTTACCATTGTTACGTAATTTCCCTGCATCTTCGATTGGCTCTGCGCGAGAAACAAGGAGAGAGAGAAAGAGAAACGAGGGTTCCTTTTTTAACCGCCATGACGTCTCGAAGACGTCTCTCCTCTTGAAATCCAAATCGACAGAGAAAAAGTCCAGTCTCCAAGTAATGGAAACCCGCTCCACTTCTAATATCGCTTGGAATTAATTTCCTTAATACCTCATCTCCGAGATTATAAATATTTATCGGTTTTTTAGCCTGCGGATGCGGAGATCGAGCAACCGAGGTCTTCCGGGCTGGAGCAAAGAGGAACGAAACGACTTTTCTAGGGTCCTGCACTTTCGGAGCGACCGCCAGATCTCGTAAGGATATCCTCCTCTTTGGCCACTAGGAGGACCTCTTCTTGGACGCTCCAAATGGAGAGCCGGAAATTGGACTACGTCCGTAATACCTATGAAACGCTCAAAGAGATACACCGTTCGCCTTTCTCGTGTAACTTCTTTACCCACGACAAACGGCGGAAGAACTTTACGAAATTGTCATCCCTTGCCAGGAATTTCTTGGCCTCGTGGGAGCGACGAGGACGATTTTTCCGACGAGGTTGCGAGGATGATGCCAAAATCGAGGAGGAAGACCCTTGAAAAAACCAAAACGTAAGGATTGGCCCCCAAAGGAGAACCGCGTAAAAATGTCATGTCTCGCAGACGTTTCGCCTGAGTCGTCAGGACTAACGCACCCTCGTGTCCTTAATCACGTCGACGAGACATTGCATTTCTAGACGGCTTGAATTATGAAGTCAAATTGATATCTAACAACCATGGAAGCCTCGAGACCTTAAGATGGCGTGAAAGTGGTCAATCGTTTGTGAAACTTTTCTCCGAGCTGGATGTACCGTGCACAACTCTACAACGAGAATATGGAGGCCGGAATACGCGATTTGGAGAAAAGTTTCATAAACGAGTCCTCTGACGCCACTTTCGTCCCAGCTCGATAGATCAAGACCCCCCACGACTCGAGCGTCACTGTGTCACTCAGCGCCGACGAAGTACACTGTTCACTCCGCGTAATCCTTGGGGAGGATGTTCCCCATCCCGGACACTTGGTCCCACTTCCGATTAAGGTGCCCAGGACCGAAAATCGAGACTCGGAAGTCCCTGGGCGCACCTGCCTCGCCGTTTGCACCTGCAGGATGGGAAACCCCAAGACTCGGTCCAACTTCCTGTCTCCACTTCCGACCCAGGGTCTCTACTTACCATGGTTAGAGCCGGTTTCTGAGAGGATGGTGCGAGATGGTCACGACGAACCAACTGTCCAAGTAATAGAGGTGAACTTGTCTAAGTAACTTTCGGATTCTTCCCCCACCAGTCCTCACCAGCAGGGGTGCCCTGGCCCGGTATAACGCCAACGCCCATCTGACCATATTTAGTGCGAGCTGCCTCAAAATAGCGCCCTTTCGCCGTTTCGACTAAAACAGTTAGCTTGAGCTCAGGCTCGAGCACGGAGCCAGTTCGCCCGTTCCGGAGCGGAAATATAAGTCAAGGGTGAGCGATCAGGGGGTCATCCCCCGTCTTGCTGGACCAGGATCGGAACCAAGACCCAACCCCGAAGGACCCATCCCGTTTCCTTTGGCCATCGGCGACCCGGGACCACCTCTGTATCCCCTTTTCTTGGGTCTCCATCAGAATTGGGCCCCATTTTGGGCCCCAATTTGGGACCCACTCCACGCTCCAAAGTCGTTTCCGCCTCCTCGGGAATGCGTGCTCGCATTCCTCGCCCGTGATTCCGGGCCCCGTCTCGCCGCTGCTCCTCGACGATCGGCTCGGCGATATCCCAAGCACGTGGACTCCGGAAATAACTGGCCGACATTCGAGCCGCTATCTGCCATCGAGCTCGAGCTTCCTATTCCATGTCAGCCGTTCGCGCGTCCTGGCCTCCCGGGTCTGACGTTTCTGGCCCTGGGAGGAAAATCACCGAACGGACCTCCTGAGCTTCTCATACGACTTTATCTCCGCTGAGGAGGTCTCGGAGATGCCGATGGAGCTGCTGGGTCTGTAAACGATCTTCTTCGTTTCCTCGACCTCGATGAGTCTCTTCAGCGAGTCTGCGCTTCCTTCCGGTCGCGCCGGTACTTCCTCAGTAATGAAATATGAGATTCTGGGTGCAGAAGTGTAAGTCGACTCGCGGTTAACCCTTTAAATAGGAAATCATCGATTTGAGGTCGGAAATCGTGGGGGAGGTTTTTGGGTCACGTTGGACGCTTCGTCGAGGGGTGGCATGTATTCCCGTCGCATGTTCTCCATGTTCGGTCGCTGCTTTTGGGCAGGTCCCTTTGAAACCGTGAATCGAGTTCAATGGAAAGTAATACCTCCGATCGATCGCCAGGGCCTTTCAGCCATCGGGAGGGAATTGGCGGTGTGGCGAAATTCCTCATCGCTGTGAGAAAAATTTCGTTTAACGGGGCGATTGCGCGCCGCTCGTTAATCGGTTGTGAGAGTAATTGTAGGTGCAACGAGTCTTTAATTAAATCGGACGGTAATTTATTTGCCTGCCAGCAACGGCACATTTAGACGGAGCTGCTTCTCCCTCGTCGAGGCGCGGTCTCTCTCTCTCTTAATCCCGTTAATTATTTTTAATTAATTCCGCCGATCTGCGGACGGTCAGGGGTAAATCGAGTTCACCAACAGGAGGTCCTTGCAGGCGGTGGAGGCGAACCAGTCGACGTTCAGGATGAACTTTGTCACCAGGCAGGTGGTCCACACTGCCAGGAGGTACAAGAAGTGCACCACTAAGTACACGTCTCTGTGACTTCGACGGAACTCTTCGGGCTCGACTTCAAGCTGCGCCTCTTGTCTCGAAATCCAGCTGAGAAGGGAAACAATGGAACATTTACCCTATTTTCCGGTTTTGGGTAATGAAATAATGATTCTGAATGCGGTACCATCCGACGTGTCTGGTTGCCACGACCTCGCCGCTGCAATTACGAGGTGCTGGTCAATCGGGGAATTATTCGACCCCGAATAATTAATAACTATCTGTTTTATTTATTTACGCTGCCCTGGCGCTGGACACTCTGTGCTGATACGCGAGATTCGCCAGAAAGTCCGGATCCCACATGCTTCTCTTCTTCGCGGATCCGCGGTATCTGTATAAACGGAACTTTCAGATTTCATATTAAGAAGTTATGAAAGTGGCAACCGAAAGCTCAATCGTTTATGAAACTTTTCTCCGAATTGGGTGCATCAAATCGTTTCTAACTTTACCACGTTAATATGGACTGCATTAATTAATTTTGCGTTTAAACTATATTAATTAACAGATTTCTCCGATATTCGTTTATGTCGACTTACGAGCACTTAGTGCACCGACGCGTGCAAATTTCTTCTCGCATCTTATCATCGCTCTTTGTGGAATTGCGCCGTCTCTGCGGTCTCTTTTGTCGGCTGTCTTTTCCGTCTCGGCTAGGAAATTTTCCCGATGACGTGTAAATATTATACGTGATTACTGTATATCGGTCTGATTAGGGAAAATTATTACTCGAGCCTTTCGTCGCATCCGTCGAGGACGTCGGCGGTGCTTCTCGGGAATTTCGCCAGGAACTTGAAGGCAAGCAACGTCTTCAGGGAGTCGACGAGACTCCGGAGCCGGGCGCTTTTCCAGACCATTTTTCCACGCACGATTAATTTTCCCGACGCTTAACGAGGTTATTTTCCCTCCCCCTGGGAGATAGCGAAGCTCGACCTTTTTCGGTGTTTCCTTGAAACTGGCGACGCTCGAGCTCGTTTAAAGGGTGCAAAATAAGTGCCGGAGGAATTCTCCCGGAAATATCGGCCACTGGGTTTCCCACCCTCTGGAGCGTTCCTCCAAATAGCGGATAGCGACCCGGGGAAAAATGAAATAAGCAATTGGGTCAGTTTCCACCCAGTCACCAGGAACGAAGAATTATGAGCACTTTAATGCGGAGAAATTCTCCACCGGGCGGAGTTCCTCCCCTTTCATTTTCCCTCTTTTTCCCCCATTTTCGGCTTTTCCTTTTGCCCGCAAATCGCGCCGGGTAAAGGCGTAAAGGCCGATAGAGCGGTAATTTAACTTCCGCGAAGGCTCGAGCAAAGATTTCCCTTTAATGTTTAATTTCCTCTTGTTTCTCCTCGTCGTCTTATCCGTCCGATTGTTGACGGGGCGCCATTACTCGGGATTATTTTATCCTCCTCTCCTTAATGAATCCGTCGAGGAGATTACCTCGTTGCACCGCGACTCGTTACCACGTCTTCGGGATCGTCGACTGGTAAATCCGTCACGGTCGGTAAGTCAGCTCTTGACAGAAGTCGAATTGACAGCGCCAGGTGGAGGATGGACGGCCAAGAGCACGAAAGTGAAACCTTCGTTTGCACGGAGGAAGACACGAATACCTATCAAGAGGGACGTGATGAAGAATCGAGCCGGCCCAAAGTGGCTGCTAATGACGAAGTCATTTGGCAAAATGATTGCAATTAATGGAGGCGCGAGTTGGCCGACGACGGACCCCGAAGAACATCTATAAGAGCGCGCTTTACGATGAGATGCATCGCCAAGGAATTTTTTCGTATACTTCATGCATACGTATGACGACGTACCGACATTTGCAGGTCGCTGCAACGTCGATAAGCAGGGAAACCGAGCCTGCCGAGCACCGGTGACCGGTTTCGGGGTCATCGTTCTCCGATTCTCATCGACTCCCACCACCATCTCCATGACCATGAGTGAAATAAGAAAGTACAAGTCGGTTATACCGTTTCTCGAGGTGAGAGCCACAGTTCTGGACAAGGCAGGCAACGGGACGGAGGAATGTTACCGATCATCCGTCCCGAGGAAAATATCGAGCAAGTCGAGGATGCGATAAACCAGGATTTGTCCTGCAGAGAGCATGGAGTGGCTCCTGCTCTTGCTGTTCGGTGAGCCTGGAAAATCTAAGGGGAGGGAAAAAATCGTAAGGAAATCCCCGACGGTCGAGACCGCGCGGATTTGTCGAGACTTTTTTTTCCCTCGCTGTCCCGCCGGATCGCCGTCGAATTTCTCGGGAAAATCGTAGGTGGTCGGATTTCCATGCAGACCGTTTGAAAGGGACTTTTCACTTGCAGCCGTGAGTGGAGACGCACTCAGACTCGCGGCTTACGTTTCTTCCGGGGGCCTTCACGGTGAGATATGGTTCGAGAGTAGCTCGAAGGACGGCGTGAAAATCCGGCTGGCTTTGCAAACCACTCTTCAGTACCCGGACCAGCAATGGCTCTGGTCGGTCATGGAGTTCCCGGTGGAGTACACCATGACGAATGGGAGGTGCGACGAGCGACGTCTCGGGGACACGTGAGTCGGGTCTTCCTAAATCCTGGAATGGCGGTATAAGATAATTCGGGATTAAAACGCGTTTCCGAATATTTTCCTGGATTTTTCTCTAAGGGTCCTCGACCTGACGGAACTCGTTGGTCCCCTGGAGATGCCTGGGAACGAGACAGGAGTAGTCGAGGTCCCAGGACTCAGCCTGGCAGGGGAAAAAGGGCTCTGGGGGAAGAGCCTGCTCCTGAGGGACACCTACAGCCCTAGAGTCATTTGTGCCTCCATTACGGTGATTTTTTTTATTCCTTCGACCTTTCATCCACCTCGGGAAGGATACATCTGACTTCTCTATGGCAGGTTCTGGATAAAAATGCGGAAAAACTGGCGGAGGCGCGTTTCTTCGGCGCGGTAGCTGGAACCGTATGGTTCCGATGGTTGGGAGGCCAAGCTGGAGACAACACCAGCGACACTATTATTTATGCTAATTTGCACCATGTCTCGAATCGTGGACTAAAGGGGGCGGATTTCACGGAGCACCATTGGAAGATCTACGTCACCGACATCTTCGACATGGGGAAAGGTCAGGAGCTTACGGTCATACGAAAAGGTCATTCCTATATTAATGAAATAAAGGACACTTTTCATCTTTCGATATAGGAATGATCTTTTCTTAACACCTTAAAGAACGCTTCAGAGTTTCTCAGGAATTCTTCGGAATCGTCAGAAATCCTCTCTATCCGTTTCCAGAAAAGGGAGACGACAACTGCAACGTATTGCAGACGGTATTCGACCCCGACAACGCAGGATCGTCGAAATCAATCGGCGATATCGATTCTCGCTTGGGGAAGATAAAAGTGGCGGTGGATTCGAGGAAGTCGTCGAAAAAGCTCTACAGAGATCCGGAATTGTCCTTGCTCCCAGCCGATCTCCTAGGACCTCATCGTTTGCTGTACCTTGTCGTCTTTCATCCCACCCATGACGACTCTTTCCTGGCCTGTGCCAGGATCAAACACCATAGACCGATAATCGCTAAGTAATTATTTTTAACCACGTTCCCCGAGGTGAAGAGCGATTCACTGAGAATAATTAAGGTGTTACGAAAGGTCATTCTCAAGATATCAAAACGACAAATATATAATATATAAAGTAACTTTTTCGTGACATTTTAATATCTGCTCCAGGGCACTCGTGAACTCTCTTGGGGTCAAAGGAGAAATGACGTTGACCCAGGAGACCCCGTTCAACCCGACGTGGGTCAACATTTCCTTGACCACGAACAACGATCTCGAGACTAGACTCAGGTACGCCACCAAGATCGCAGCCTACAGGATCCACGAATTACCAGAGGAGCCAGGAAGGTCCTTGAAGCAAGACAAGGAGCCTTGCACGACGACGAAGAGGATGTACAATCCCTTGAACATCGAGGAGAAGAGTTCTCCTCCACCAGGTTGAGTAGATTCTCTTCGTAAATGTATTTCGTTCCACCCTGGATGGTCGATAACCTTCGTGGTTTAAAAGGATATGGAACCCAGGACCAGTACGCGATCGGCGATTTATCCGGGAAGCTGCAAGGACGCAAGGAAGGATTCTACCACAATGACATTCTCCCTGGGAGTGCGAAATTAAGCGGCATTTATTGGGACACGTACTTACCCCTTTCCGGTGTACACAGCGTCGTGCACAGGTCCCTCGTTTTGCACAAGTAAGGCCCCAACACCGCACATGGAAAAGGTTTATTGGGAACGAGTTCAATAAAGGTATTCCCCAAAAACAGGTACAACGAAACGGACAACAAAGGAGTGATCCCATGGGTGTGTGGATTCTTCGCCCATCACCTGCCAAATAACGCCGGGCAGATATCGATGACGACCCTGGAGGTGGTCTTCAGGTACCCCATAATAGGGAGGATCATCTTCAGGCAGGCCAAACACGAGCGGTTGATGGACACCACCGTGATAGTAGAAAATCTGGTCCATGCAGATGGCAGCGCGGTGAATAATTCGGCGGGTCACAGGTACACATGCACATTCAAATATTTGATATCCAAGGGGAATGAATTTCAGGATCCGTTGAAATTAATTACCTTGACTCAGGTGGATGATCCACGACGACCCTCCTGGCAAGGACTACTACAACTGGACCGGGAGATGTCTGTCTGCAGGTGGTCCATACGACCCTTACAAGGTTTGTCATCCCGTTTAGGCTACTCTTCTCCAAGAAAGTGTTTTTTTTTTTTTTAATTTGACAAAACAGGTCAACTTGGATCCTGACCATCCGGAGAGGTGTACCTCGGAGGAGGTGACTCTGTGTCGACTGGGCGATCTATCGAGACACGGCACTCTCGAGATCGCGGGCACCAAGTTGCGAGGACCTCAGGTGTCGAGGAGATTGTTCACCGACTCGATGCTGCCGTTGGCCGGGTCCAGCAGCATCCTCGGAAAGAGTTTGGTCATCTACGATGACCACGGTCCGGTCGCCAGAGGCGAGCGACTCGCTTGCTCCAGGTGAATCCCATCTCCCCCTCGGGAAGTGATTTATATTAGTGGTAACGAGAAAGCTCTCCTTTTTTCTCCTCTGTCCGCAATGCAGAATCAATACCGTCTATAGAAGAAAGGCGGTGGTGAAGGATTGGTTCGGGAACGGGGAGGAGGCGACGGTGAGGGGAAAGTTGGAAATAATCCAACAAAGCGAATATGATGTCACCGACGTCGAGGTCGATCTCGAAGGCTTGAACGGGAAGATGAGAGGGTATCACGTCCACACGGTACAGTTATTATCCTCAGGCTCCGCTTCGGGAAATGGAAGGAAGGGACATCGTGCCTTCCCCGTTTCCTCGTCCGTGGGTCTACGGAAGAATTATTTCCAATTATTTCTAAAATATCCCCGGGGCCAATTTCTCGATTTCTAGACGCCAGTCGAGATAGATCTGGCATTCCCTTGCGAGGGTACATCGTTGTACGGTACCTGGAATCCACTGAACGTGAACATCCTGAAGGTGCCTCCACCAGGGGAGGGTACCACCGATCAGTACGAGATGGGCGACCTCAGTGGGAAATTTGGCACTCTGGAGAACAGGAAGAGATATCGTGCCGTCTATAACGACACCATGCTTCCTCTGTTTGGTCCCAGGAGTATCCTGGGACGGAGCGTGGTCATCCACAAAAAGGATAAGGACCTCAGGTACCTAAAATAATTCCGGAAAAAAGGCACGAGGCGGGAAAAGGAAATCGTTAAAGTATACTCAACGTCGATGCGATCCTAGGTGGGCATGCTCGACCATAGAGAGAGGATATGCACCTTCGGAAGCTCGGGAGTTAAGAGCCATCGCATCCTTCCATCATCCCCAGGGATTCGCGTACGGATACATAAGGATGGTAAAACCGATTTGATAAATACAGGAGCTTGGATGTTACGCCTGGAGAAATGTGCCAGATAAGGGTTAATAGACGAAGTTGGATTGAAAGGGGTTTGATTTCAGACGCAACTGGTGTACAGAGACGACAGCAAGAGCGAAACCATAATCGAGGTGAATCTCCACCATCCTGGGAAGCACGATCGGAATGTGGTGAGTCGATCGGTTTCCTAGGAAAGTTCCCGCGATACTCGGAATTGCAGTCACGAACCACTAGCTCTGGAATCCCGACGAATTCTGGTTTCCAGACGAGGAACCATAATTGGGCCATTTATGTGAACCCCGTGGGCGTGGACGCCACCGTGAAAATCAAGGACACTCGATGCGTGGCCGCGGGTTACCGGTGGAATCCTTATTTCACCCAGCTGGCGGATCCTCTGAACGTAATATGCATTTTTTAACTTTTTTCCCCCCTCTTCAGGATCTGATAAACTCCGTTCGATCTCCAGGAAGACCTCTATCGACAAGAGTGTGGTCCAGATCTGCCATTGAGATGCCACGTGGGGGACGTCTCCGCGAGATTAGGACCCATCGACATCGGCGTGGAGAGGCGCGTCTTCACGGACCAAAACTTCCCCCTGGAGGGCCCCGTCTCCGCAATGGGGAAATCCATAGTGATCCTGGATAAGGACCTGGGCAACGACCGATTTGCCTGCGCCAATATCGAGCCTGACAACGACATCGTCAAGTACGCGAACATCAGGAAGCCGCCTCGATTCGTCGTGTAAGAGATTTTGTAGCCTCGAGACAATTGGTCCAGGATAGGTGGAGGAGGTTCCAAGAGATGTCCTTGATAAATATGTGGATCCTAGGGCGCAGTTCCTGGAGGACGTGAGGAAGGTCCTGGGCGTCCCCGAGTGGATGCTGTCCATCGACGGCAGAAGAACGAAGATCCTTCACAGTGGTGGCTGCGTGCAATTCCTGATGCATTTCAAAGGTCTGTAAGATTTCCTCCCACGGGGTTCGGCATAAAGGGAGCAAAACGCGGTCTCCTATTCCCCATGGAACCGAGCTACAGCTGGCGCCCCTCGTCTGTTTACAAATGCATTGCTTCCCGTGCCATTTCGAAGCGGAGACTGAATCTCTTCCGACTCGCGGCTGCCCACAGGACCCATCGCCAATAAACTCGAGCAGGACTTCAGCAAACTCATATCCACCGGAAAACTGGAGGCCCCGAGCTTATACATTCCAGGATACACGCCGATGAAGAGGAAGAGCTCGCTGGGGTACCGGCAATGTGGAACCAGAGACCCGAACGACAAAAGTGAGCAATGAAATCACCGATGATCGATGAACGTTAGGTCCGACACTCCATGAAATCGAATTTCAGGTTTCAGCTTCTTCAGCAACGCCGCACCCTCCCTGACGCGCCTTCAGCCGTCGTTTTTCCTGCCTCTAGGATTAATCATGGGAGTCCTGCAAGCAGTCCAATACCCATGGAACGTGTAGGGAATTTTTACAAGATGTTAGGTGTCACGATTGACATCGGACGAGGTCCTGGAACCTGACGCCCCGAAGAGTGTCACGATCCACCAAGACTACGCGATTGAATGTACATTTCCGAGCTCTAGGATTAATTATGGGAGTGTAGAGAATTTTTATAAGATACCGGATGTCACGATTGGCACCGGACGAGGTCCTAGGAGCCTGACGCCCCGAAGAGTGTCACGATCCACCTAGACCATGAGATTGAATATACATTTCCGAGCTGACAGCAGTCCCTTTAAACGATGTCTTTAACTCTCCGGCTTATGGGGTCGGACCTGGGGCGATATCGGTAAATCCTGCAGCCGAAAGTAGGCCGAACAGGATGTCCAGTCACGCAACGAGGAGATCCCTGTTGCGGTACTCCTGGTACGAGAGCGTCCACGATGGCCCCTGCTCGGCAAAGTGTCTATTGATCTGCCTCGAAGTGGCTGTTTATCGGAGGACAATCCGCCGGGGCTCGTAAAACCGTCGCAACAGTTACCCTCGGTAATTCATCCGCCAAATGGACGAACCAATGGAATCGATTCCAGTGTTTGCTTCCACCCAGAGCGACGAAAGGGGTCCCGGCGTCGATTCGGAACTCGAGGTCCCGCGAAATAACTCGACGACTCTCCATTACCTCTCTCTCCCTTTTTTTTTTTTCGAACGGTCGATAAGAATTTATTAGGGTACAGTCCACGGCTCGTAACTCCATTCCGGAGAACGCCGCGAGGGACCGGCAAGCCTGGAGTCCTCGAGTCTCCTGGACCCGCGTCCCCGAAGGAAGAATCACAGTCGTTGCGGCCTGGGAACGTGTCCTGGGACGCCTGGAGATCGCCGATGTCAGCTTCTCCTCCGGGACCAGGCGAGACTTCACGTCCTGGACGTCTCCTTTCTCCAGTTGGTCGGCACCTGGCTCTTCGGCTCGGCCTGGTTCAGGGCCGCGCGGTCCTTGCAGCACTTCCGGCACGTCAGCCTCCAGAAGGCCAACCGGAAGTCGGCGGAGTAGAAAGCGTAGATGAAGGGGTTGATCGCCGAATTGATCCATCCTGAACAGACGAGGCAGGATGCATTTCAGGACCAAGTCCTGTCCACATTTCCAAGGCGAATCTATCTCGTCGCTACATTTCATCGAAGGGACTACTCTTCAGGGTAAATACCTAGCCACGTGAGCGCCGGCATCAGGGCATCCGGCGGAGCCATGGGAACGAACGGCGTGGCCAGGTAGAGGATGAAGAACGGCAACCAGCAGGCCACGAAACCGCCGACCACGACTGCCAGCGTCCCAGCCGTCTTGGTCTCTCTGGCTACCCTGTTGATGCAGCTTTGTTGCTGAGCCCTCAATCCCAGCCTCTTGCAGGTGCTGGCTCCTTCCCCAGTGGCCTCTCCCCCGGAGCGTTCGTAGGATGCATTGCCTCCGCTCTCGGATGCTGCTGGGCTATCTGCTCGTTTCGACCGCAGACTCTTGGTCCTCTCCACCTGGACCGGAAAAGAGATTGCCAACGCTCCTCCATCGGGATGGGAACTCCAAGGTGCCTTATTATTTTAAAACGTCAAGTCTCCGATTTTTCCACCGAAGATGGTTTCCTCGATTTCATCCCACGGTTGCTTTAACTCCATTCAAAGTATTAAGAATATTTTAATGAGACTAGGGTTTCCCTATTTTTCTCAGTGCAGGAAGAGGCGATACTTGCGAGAAAATTGCGCCGTTTGTGGGAGGGCTCCGACTCGTTGGTCTCCAAGTGGCGGTGTCTCCCGGCGATGACGCACGAGATCCTTGCGTACACGTACAACATGACTAGCATCGGGAGGAAGAAGGATCCCATGGCGGAGAATATCACGTAAGAGGAGTCCATGTTATAGGAACACTTGCTGCTGTCCCTGTTGGTGGCTCTGGGGAAGCAGCCCAGGAGTGGAGGGCTGGTGATGGCTCCGGCCATGACCCAGACGGCGATGATCATCAGTCCGGCCAGTCTTTTGCTCCTGCGTCTTCTGCTGTAGACGAGCGGCTGCGTAACCGCCAGATACCTTTAAGAGAAGTCCAGAGAGAATTATTTCAGGGTTGGGTCCTTCATTCGGGACCGCCATGAAGAGTTACGCCGTCGTCGCGTTCCAGTACCTGAACGATTTTCGATACATTCGAATTTTGAGCCGGTACCATGTTGGCATCACGTCAATACCATGTCAGTACCGTAAAGCAGATTAATACAACGTTGGTACCACGCAAACTTACTCACCTGTCTATGGAGATGGCGCACAGGGAGAGGATGCTGGCTGTGCAGAGAAGGACGTCCAGGGACACCCAGGAGTCGCAGAGGACCTCGCCCAGCTCCCAGGTCCCTCCGTTTAGCTAGCAGAGGTCGTTTGCAGAGTTTTAGTAGCTACCAACGGAGCGAAGGCAAATGGGCCGAACGGTAGGATAATTATTTGAGACCTCCGGAACGCCCGGGAGGGTCGCTTCCTTGGGATTAATTAGTTCGTAGAATACCGCCAACTTTCCCTAGGGACTGTCTGCTGGGAAATTCCGACCGCGAAAATACCGCGACGCTTCCCGGGTGCCTTCGCTGCTGGAAATTTCACCGAGGCGATCCCTGCGACCTCCAGGAGTTGCCTCGATCGCGATCGACGGCCTCGCCCTCTCTCTCCCTCTTCAGAGGGGCGGATTAAGTTCTTGGCGTTAAATCTCCGCGGATTTTACAACTAATCGATCCCGAATAAAGTTCTGATTAGTTGGGTCGAACCCAATCAGCGGCGTCACGCCGGGGCCGGAAGTTGGCCCGCTTCCGGTTCTCGGAGTTCCGCGAGAACTCGATCCGCGGGCTCGAGGGACTCGCCAAGAGCGGCCGCGGAAGTCGAAGAGGAGTGTCGAGTGTCAATAGTCGAATCGTCCAATCTAAATGTAAAACCGTCCCTCGTTATCTCCATGACAATTGGCGACGCGCAAGACTCATCTCAAACTTCGAGTCCCGCGGGAGAATTCTCGCGAGGCTCTCGAGTGGCCGCCATTAAGGTGTTATGAAAGCGTCATTCCGTATATATCTGAATGTCAAAATATTTATAAAACCTTTCCCGAAACCGGGTGAAAATATGAAATTTCATAAGCGTCACGTTGTTCCTTTTTTGACGTTTTAATATATATATATAGAAAAATCCTTTCGTCCCACCTTAAACACGAGATCCGGAAATTCCGCCTGGAGGACGCGGAATGTCAGGATCGCCATTAACGTCGACTCCGTTGGGTCGATAAACCGCGATTTCTGAAAACCGAGCCCGGCTGTATATTGCGGCCGATCGGACACGGATTTCTCGTGTCGCGCGGAGGACGAGCGAAAGCTCGCCCTGCGGATTCCGTGTCGGGCGTGGATTTCCGCAGGCGAAACGCGAGACCCGCGAGGCGCGTCTCCGCTGTGCGGGATCGGAAGGGAAATTAACGGCGCGCGGCCGGAAATGATGACGATCCGGCACGTTTCGGCCGCTCTGGATTTTCATATTTTTTTTTCTCTCCCGTTTGTTGAGTGCGGAAAGTGGAGGCGCAGCCACGGAGGGATGGAAACAAAGCGGCAGCCTCTGATACCGGAAGGGCGCGTGTCGACGCCCATTCATCCCCCGATGCATCCCGATGTATCGATAAACCGATATCGACCGGCCGATAACGCCGATGCCGTCGTCAATCGAGGGCCCTCCCGTGTTCGACTTTGCCGGGCGGAATATAAAAATGCGGAAGTGTTCCGCGGGCTAAGTAATTATCTCGGTTCCGCTCGCCAGATTTCGAGGGTGCATTGTAGTTGGGAGTGATTGATGCACTCGAAAAAAAAAAGTTACGACTCGCGTTACTAGATGCGCCTGGTCAGAAGATTCCTGTAGTCAGGACCGATTAATATGACTAGAAAATTCTGGTTACCCACATTTTTTCATTTTTTTTTTTTTGAGCGCGCGGCCTCATTTCGGAAATTCATTAGAGGGATTGAAACGTTTTGAAACTCCGAATTTGCGGAGGCAAGCCCGATTCTAGTGTACCTGGAGCAGCACGGCCGGAGGCATCACTGCCAGGCCGACGAGCAGATCCGCAGCTGCCAAGCTGGACACGAAGCAGTTGGTCACCGAACGCAATCGCCGGGTCGTAATTACGGCTGCGATCACCAAAGTGTTGCCGACCTGAAACGAGATGCGCCATGTCGTGGGTCGGGGTCGCAGAGAGGAGCGTCGAGAGGCGCTCGACACGGGATGGAGCACTTCAGGGCGGCAGAGCGCGGAACATGCCGCGTTCCGCGCGCGGGACGCCCGCGGAAGTCCCGCGGAGGAGCCGCAGCCTCGGGGGGTAGAATCCGGGCCGCGGGAATTTTTCCGCTGCGGGAATTTCAACGGGGGCCCCTCCCAAAAGAAACGCCGCGGTTCCTCGAAAATACGGGGAGCGAAAAACTCACTTTCCAAGGAAAAAGAAATTCTCAGGTCGAGTGGATCTTTCCTGCCCCGGTCGGCGAGGTAAGATCGAATGAAGTGACGTGTCTAATTAGACAGACAATGATCGAGTCTTTGGAGAAAAATTTTATATGTATATATTTTGACGGATTTTGGTGGATTTTCCGCTCAGCGTTTCAGTTTCAGGATTCGGGAGAGGCAGGATTTCGGTACCGGGAGAGGCTTACAATCGTGACAACGATGAGGAGGCAGAACAATGCTGCCAACAGCACGTCGGTCCAGTCTGGCAGGAACTCGGATTCTGGATTTCCCTCGTTCGCCGTTCCAGTTTGGTTCCACCGGCGATCCGCGTAATCCGAGCTCGCGTTCGCCATCGCGGTCAGCCGCGATCCATCCGCTCCGATCGGCCGCTCCTGGCCTTGGCCTCGACCTCGACCAGAGAGGTGGGGACCTCGTCTCGAAAATGGTGCTCCAGGACCTCCAGGGCCTCCTGGTCCAACCCTCGGGGAGCCCTCGACATCTCACCCGAAAGAATCCTCCGGATCCTGCGGGACCAAAATGGCCGTCCGATGCTGCGGCCCCATCCTCGACCTCTTCTCGACCGAGAACTCACCCTCGCCGAATCCTGCACGGAAAACGGGACATTTGCAATTTCTACCCTTGGGAGAAACATTCCTACGATTGAAAGATAGTAGTTTCTCTTTGCAACGCAAATTCTAATTTGCTGGAGCAATTTCTCGTAATGACCGGGAATTATTTTTTTGCTACCGGCGAACAAAGGAATTTTCTGCAATGCCAACTTCCCATGGGGAACTTAATTTACCCGACCCCTGATAAATTCATGCAAGGACTCCTTCTTTGCTCGTCCCATACATCTCCTTCGGCGCCTCTCGGTGATCTGGGACGGGAGATGGATAGGCGCCCTTTGGGCGAATCGATCACTTTTTTACAACGCAACAATCGCCACCGAACCGACTCTAATCGATACAGGCTTCCTCAAAGGAGGGCGAATTCTGCACTCGAAAAGAAATTCCGGTTAATGATTCTAACCGGATGCGCCTGGTTAAAATATTCCCATAATTAGCACTGACGAGAAAGTCTGATTCATACCCTGAGAGAAACGACTGGCAGGACGAGGAACATCCAGGAACAATGAAATTTCCGAACAGAAGCGAAACCTCGGAACGAGTCCGATCTTCAACAATAATCGAGGATAACCGCGTTTGCGGGTGAAACGCCGCGGTCGCCGCGCCAGCGGAAAACGAACGATTTCCACACGAATGGCCTGCCGGAAATCGCGATTCGGGGATCCCCCTCCCTGGAATTCATTGGGAAATCCAAATCGGCCCGATTATTTCGCCAATTTATTCCCGTCCTCCCTCCCTCCCATTTTCCCCGGATTATCCTCCATTTTTCGCAGGCCTCTTTTTTCACCTTTTGCTCGCACCTTTTCCCGCGCGGGAACAAAGGCCACTTAAAGGGGCGCGAAGGCAAAAAGCGAATCCCCGGGAAATTAGCGTGTCCGTTCGATATTCGCGTTAATCGCGAACCGACACTTCGCCCGGGGAGAAAAATCGCGCGGAATCCGCCGCGGTTAAATCGCGAGCGATTATCCTGGCTGTTTATTTGCGGCGGATTGAGAGTAAATATGAAGGGTTTTTTTCTCTAGATATATAACGAGGTTTTTGCTCTGGAGACGTCCGCCTTCTCTGGGAAGGTCGAAGGAGTGCGAAACTTTCCGCCAAAAGAAAGCTCGAGCACACTTTCGTTCGAAAGTGCCGGGGGCTCCCGGAAGGACGAAAGTCGTCGAACTTTGGGAGGTCGAAAAAGCGGGGCTAAAAATGGCCCGAAGAGTCGGGTCTGGGGATGAAATTTTCAAGAGTCCTCGAGGGACGACACGCGGCCTGGTTCCGATCGACGGACCGGGAGAAATAAATGACGAGCACGCCTCTGAGGGATCAAAAATCTCTCAGACCAACCTACGCCCTTAACGAGGTGTCGCAGATGCCCTGGCGTCCTTCTCTCCGGTCTGAAAAGAGCCGCAGCCCGCAAAGGGAAGAGCTTCGGGCTTAAAGCGGACACCGCGAGGGTGGTCACCCCCAGAGAGGGGTTGTCGACTTTCCTAGGCAGACCCGACGTAGGCAACGCGGAAGAAAAAGTAACCAACGATTAAAAAAAGTCTCTCAGACCAATCGACCACCTTAACGAGATGGTCACCCCCAAAAGGGGTGGTCGACTTTCCTAGCCAGACTCGGTATATATATATCGTTGACATATATTAATGCCTAATTCAATGAAACAATTTTGCTTAATTTCATATCTCTTTGGACGTGTCCGAGGATTTATTGTCGCAATGCATATTTCTTTGGGCGAGCCAATTCTGTTTTTTTTCTCAGGGCGGAAGAGGGACCCGAAGAGGCTACTCCGCAAGGTCTCGGCCGCAGCTCGACGGGACGGAAAGAGAACGGTCCTTTGTAAGCGATTCTTAATGAAGAAACGACCGAGCCCATTTTCTTCGAGGATTCCTCGAGGCGTCTGATTCGGATCAAGGCCACCCTGAGAGATCCATTGTGCATTACGCCGATTGCCCACTCGAGATCCCGGGCGAGAGGTTTCCTTCGGTGCAGGGGTGCACCTTCAAAGAGATGCACATTCAAAAGAAGGATGCCATTTTTTTTCGTAATGTCACAACAATCACGCGACGTTTCATGTGATTCGGTGCACCCAGTTTGGAGGAGAGTTGTAGAAATGTCTTCACGGTCTGATATATATAAAAAATTGCCCTCCCGTAACACCTCGAGGATCCAATCCAGGTGGAGTAACCGGAGTTCTTACCGAGTGCACTTTGAAAGAGATGCACCTCGAAAGAAAGGGGTTGATCTGGGCTCCGCAGGGGGAGGGAATCGATAGGGCACCCGGAAAAACTTGTGACGCGGATCGCCTCCCCTGGGAAACTCCCCAGGTGGCGAGGGGCTCGGTTCCCGAGGGATCGGCGATCGCCATGAAAATTCATCGGTTCACGTGCCATCTTTTAGAGCCGGATTAAAGTATAATCCGGTCCCAGGGCCCGGAAAAATCTCCGGGGATCCCCCTTTATAAATCGCTCGCACCCGACTGCAATTACCGGGGACGGATTCTCCGCCACTTCCGGTTATCTTCCGAAGCCTCGTTACCCTTTATGGCGTTCCCGGACTCGGCTCTCCCGGTTCGGGTCCCTAAACAACGGATGGACGTGGAGGCTCCATCGCTCTCGGCGTTACTTCGTTATAAACTCCCTCTTAAAGGGAAGACTTCTTTTCCTCTACGAAGACTTTAGACACCCTCCGTGCGGAAAGATAATTCCGTCCGGAGAGACATTTCACTTGCTTCGGCAAAGAAAAATTTGCAAACGTCCCAACAATCTGTACATCCTTTTTGCGACTATCAACGACGATATTTCTTGGCTGTTCCTACTCTGAGAAAAAAAAATCCATCGAACCAAAGGAACGTTTGGTTAATGCGAAAAAATTCAACAGGAAGGAATTGCCATAATTCCGAATAAATGTTGCATCCGATTTATTCGAACTTACTCGAGTCAAATAATTGTTCCTTGAATTAAAGAAATGTCTATTTGGTTCAATGACATTCTTTTCTCCGTGTATAAACATGTATATATATTCGAGATTAAAAAATGGGTTTGTCAATTTAAAAAAAGAAAATCCCGCCTCGTTAGACGTGTCAGTGCATTCTGGTGCGCCCGAAAAGTGGAGGCGCGTGCATGACTAGCGCATGACTCGTGCATGACTGGGAGCCCGAGATTCGGGACAAGGGTCCACTAACGAGTCGGCGGGTTCCCGGATTCGAAAATTCCCCGAGGGTGGTCGTCTGGAGAAAAGAAGAGGCCGCCTCGGGGCCCAGGGTGCAACCTCGAGGAAGACGACGAAGACCATTCCCCCGGTTCGAGTCGGACTACCTTCGCGGCGCATCGGTCTCTCGTCTGGAGGGTTTCCACTCGACTCGTCAAAGGTTTCCGGAAGCTTTGTGCACTGCATCGGCACCGGAGGAACCGCATCCGCTAACGATTCCCTCGAAGCCCGAAACCGGCCGCGAATCGCGCCCAAACAAAGGCGACCGTTTGATTTATGCCGACCGGAGATGCGCGGAAAAAAAAAAGAAAAATTACATTTGCACTTTTAGCAAATCGCATCGCCGATAAAATTTCGCTCTTCCTGTACTAATAATTGCACCCAGGATAGCTGCAACCGAATGCAACGTTTCTTCGGCGTTCTGACAATTTGAGATTTCTTAATAATTATCCTTTGAATTATTAGAATATTTCTTTGGGACCGTTCGAAGAAATATTTCTCCGCCTTCTCGGTGCAGTTTCCGGGGCGGGGGAAATTTCCCGCAATTACGGGTCATTATTCTCCGGCGTGTAGACGCGATTTTCGAGACCCGGGGAAGAGGAGCCCCGTAAAGGGTAAAGTTTCGCGGAAAGAGGGCGGCAGTGTGGAAAATTGCCGAGGATCGGAAATTCGGACGTACCGGAGACCCCGAAGAGGGTCCTCGTGGTCCTCCAGGTGGCACCTCTGTTCGGGCTCTCTCTCCTCGTCAAAGCGACTTCCGGCGGCTTTGCGCGCCGCGAATTAGTCCCGAGTCCTCTCGAGCCGACGCGGAAAACCGCGCGTGTATCCGCGCGCGGAACGCGGAGACCGCGGCCGCGGACGAATTAAACGAGCCGCGGAAAACTGGCGGAGGGCGTTAATTCTTCGCGGAGCGGCCGCACGCGGGACCGCGAACCAGGCCAGCCGGAAACGCGGACGCGAAAGTCGGGCTAATTCACCCCGCAAACGTTCCGCGTACCCCGTCGGTTTTCCGCAGGATCCGGAGGAATCGAACCCTGAGGGGGTGGCAAGTTTGCCAGGAGGGAGAGGACTTTTTCGAACCGCACCCCTTTAATCAGGACACCTGCGAATGACGGGAATGCTCAAAGGGGTGTAATTTCCCCGACGAGCAACCCCCTCGAAATTAACGAATCTCCCACCCCTCGCCTATCCTTCTCCCTTAAGAAGTCCGTTCTCCCCCTCGACTTCGAATCGCCTCCCAAAGAAGTTCCGAACTCGTTTATCCGAGTTTCGAGGATGGGTGGGATCGAACCGACGCCGCGACGCCCCTTAGACGTCGGGCCACCGTGGGGGTGGTTTAATTATTCCGAAGGATTATTCGGGCGTCGCGTGTCCTGATATTTATCGCAGGACGAGCCCATTAGTCTGTGCAGGTCCCAGGAACATCCCGAGGGACGTCGGCACACCCCGAATATCCGTTTCAGGATCTGCAGAAGTTTACAATGCGAATATGAAGGCTTTAACGAAGGTCCTGACACCTATGAAAAGACAGT